TGAATCCAGAGTATTAATTAATTAATTAATACAGTTACCCAAAAGTTTTATTGCCACTCTAGCTTGTACAAACAATTTTTGCTGTCAGGTAGGGTGCAATTGTTTTTGTTATTTTTGTACACTTTTAAATCATTGTTTGTCTGATGCTTAGAGCAGACATGTCATATGTAGACAAACATATAACTATACCTGACTTGCTGCCTTCATTTAGAATATGGCTAATGAATTGTTTAGAATCACATCAGAAGAGAATTGCAGCGAAAATTTTAGTGAGAATTGTTTCTGCAACAAAATGGCTTATTTTTGTTAGCAAATTTAGGTCTTACTGTACACTTCCACTAAATATGTCAGCAGTTTAAAAGTCACTATATGTTGCAATAGTCCCTCTAAGGTCGTCGCTCCATAATTGTCATTGAAATCATTTTCAAAGTAATATGAAGAAAAGAGATCCGTTTAATATAAGACATTCTTGTTTTGTTGAGGTTATAATTGAAAACATAAAAAAATGGAATTGGTTTGATGACGTTTGTGGATTTACGACTGATTCACACGATGACGTCATTCAATTTTATCGCTGGCCATTTGTTTCCAGCAAAGACAATGTTTCTTAGTTTTTTAATATTCACGTAGCAACTTTACTTTTATAATTCACGATCAGAATCAGAGCGGCATTAACGAGAATGCTGGTGAAGAATTTGAAATTGCATTCTGGCTAAAATATCATATATATATACATATATATATATATATATATATATATATATATATATATATATATATATATATATATATATATATATACACCCGTTTGCAAAAACGTTGGCCGCAGATAGATATATAGATAGATACCCGAAATCTAATTAGAATTGCATATGTTGTGTAATATGATTGAAATCCCATGCAAATGTAATCATATGCAATTCTAATTAGACTTCGAGTATCTATCTATCTATCTATCTGCGGCCAACGTTTTTGCAAATGGGTGTATAATATATATATATATATATTATATATATATATATATATATATATATATACACCCTATATATATATACACCCTATATATATATACACCCTATATATATATACACCTATTTGCAAAAACGTTGGCCGCAGATAGATAGATAGATAGATACTTGAAGTCTAATTAGAATTGCATATGAATACATTTGCATGGGATTTCAATCATATTACACAACATATGCATTTCTAATTAAATTTCGAGTATCTATCTACAGGGTGTCCCAAAAAAACCGAAAACTATTGAAATCACTTATTGTTAAAATTTGAATGCCGTGTTCACGAATTTCAGCCCGTGGGGATTTAATGCAACTTATAAAATGCTAAATGCTTTGTGTTGCTAGAGAAAGGGGACATGTCGAAGGTCATGGTCCTTGAGATGCACATTAAAATAATGTTATCCATATTTGTAAATTGTAAATATTGTTAATATATATCATTTTTGCGAACAGGCAAATTTGACTGCATCATATGCATGCATAAAAATGCTTATGGAAACCCCGATTTATACACTTGTGGGCCCAACAGAGTGCTTAGGCATTCAAACTCTAACAATAGCTTTGTTGTGGATGATTTCAATAGTTTTGTTTTTTTTGGGACACCCTGTATATCTATCTATCTGCGGCCAACGTTTTTGCAAATGGGTGTATATATATATATATATATATATATATATATATATATAATATATTATATATAATATATATATATAATTATATATATATATATATAATAAATATAAATATATATATATATATAAATATATATATATATATATATATATATATATATATATATATATATATATATATATATATATATATACAAGTTCAACAAGTCGCGTTCTGCTCTGGATAAAATATAAAAGGATTCAAACTTGTTTACTTCTTTTTCACGGTGTAATTTCTCACATAATCCTTCACGTTTATCCATGTTCTGTCTTGTGTTATCCCGTGATTCTCCTCGAAAAACTTAACACACTGGTTTTTTGGGGGGTAGCACTCCATTTTGAATGTGTTTTTGGAATGTTTTCACCGCTGCCTTTCTTTCTGCCGTAGTCCACGTTTTCTTCGCCGCCACCTTTCGTTGCTGACCTATAAAAATTATAGTGAATTCATTATAGACTGTATGTAATACAAGTAAACATAGTCAGCTATTTATCTGGGTAAGTTAATTTCGTTAATACAACAATACGGGCGTATTGGGTCTTACGGGGACTTGAGAGTATCGTATTTCTCAAGGACCTATGCACTCAAAAATAACATACCCCCTAATGGGGGCCTGTCATCACTCAAACATTGCGAGGACTTACAATACACATAATATGAACCCCTGGGGGCCTTAGAAATTCACAATATATTTAATATTTTAATAAATCCCTAATTAAGATAATGTCAACATGTCAATTAGTGCTATAAATAACTATACCACAGTTATATTGACTGGCTTTTAGAATTAACGACCGGGATTTTTAAACATAATTTTATACAATGGATGACATCTTCCAGATCGAAATCAATGGACATGTTAGCGAGACCGAACAGCCCAGCGATGATGAATTTTTCGCGGTACTGGTATTAAATTTGTAAATTTTAATGAATATCTGTAGTATTAGGGCTTAAAAAACACATATTTTCATGCTAGTCATGTCTCACGGTAGTTATGTTTTATTTCGATCAGCAAATTTCCTGGGGCCGGTTGTATCAAGCCCGTTTAGCTTAAACGGTGGATAAGTCAAAATTAAATAACACTCTTACATCTCTCTTGAATGAGTCAACTTGAATATTATGCACTGAATATGTAGTTGTAAACAGTATCTTTGTATTAAGGTTAAAAACATTTCGTTTGCTTCTTGAATAAAACGATAGACTTTCTTTCTATTTTGAACTTAACCACCGTTTAAGCTAAACGAGATATACTATTGCTTGAGTCAGGATTCAAGGCAGGACTCGAGCCAGGACTCAAGCCAGGACTCGAGTCAAGGACTCGAGTCAATTAACCTTTCTCACGCAATGCGACCAATCCGCCATATTTAGATGACATATAGTTGATTTTATAATAAATCATTTTATGAAATAACAAGTATGATCGTACTATTGGACCAGGAACTGGTGAAGTATAGATTAAATCTTTCTCTCCAGGATGAAATTTCAAATATCTATGCACCTAGGTAATCTTGCGGTTATGTCTAAATTATCGCTTTTCTACATTTTTCATCTGCCTTCAATACAAAGACATTTAAAATATGCCGAGTTGCACATCTATGTCCTAATCTATGCCGCTGTAGCTGGCGAGAAGCTAGCGTTGCGTGCACCGTGCCACTGTCATTATAGTCGTTTTTTATGTATATGTATGCTGGGCAAACCCTAAACAAATAAATAAAAAATAAGAAATGCCCTAGAGAGAAACGCATTTAACGCAATGGTCCTATAGTCCCGAGTATATATTGTGTACAAAACAACGAAAATACACGACCTTCTAGGTTGAACTCATAAGATATGAATATTAATAATATTAAAATTTGCCTCCCGCTACAATCTGACATGGCTTGCAAATCTTCTGCAGAATATAAGCACAAACAATTTAACTCCGTAAGTCGATAGAGAATAACCTTTAAGATAGTTGTGTGAAGTTTTATCACGATCTGGTGCGAAATGACAGAGCCTTAGCCATTCGAACTTGCTTCAGTTATGCATACTAATATTGAATATAATCTATACGCATTACTACGCTACAATTTTGAGTTGCTTCTAAATTTCTTTAAAATAAAAAAATCAAAATTATAACTCCGTCAATCGATGGGGAATATCGCTAAGAATAGTTGAGTGAAGTTTTATTGCGATCTGATGCGAATTGACGGAGCCTTAGGCTTTTTTAAAGAGCGTCACCCCCTAACAACAACAACAACAACAACAACAACAAGATTAGCCGCGTGTGGGGACCAGTTCCTGGTCCAAAAATTGGGGGTAACATAACTCGTAACCAACAGGTAATTGCTGTCCAAAATATCGGATGCAAATCGTTAATTTTCATTTCTGACCATGGCATGGAGAATAAAAACACATTGTGTTTCTATTATCCATTGTTTTAACTTTCAAATCTTTACGATTTAATGGTGCATGCACCGTAATGGTAAAAGAATTAGCCTTTCTAACGCTATGCGACCAATACAATGTTGCTGACTAACTAGAAGTTTTGCAAAGTTCTGTTTTTGAATTCATTTAGCGATTTAAAAATTGTGGACTCAAAAAATGGTATCATAAATAATCACATTTAACGAATTCGGAAAAATTCTAGTCTACTTAAAACCTGCCGCACACGAGAGCAACTAGCCGAGCTAATAATCACTCGTGGCTGTTGGCGTAAGCAAACTTTTCTCTTGTGCGGACAAATTTTAAGTGCTTTTGTTCATTCGTGGCACTTTATTCTGGAACGAATAAACAAAAGCTCTTAAAATTTGTCCGCACACGGGAAGAACCATTAAACTGGGAAGAACCCGCTTACGCCAACAGGCACGCGGGAAAGACGGCAATAGAAGTTTCCATGAGCAAGACGTAGATGAGTCATTAAATCGGAGCTTGTCGGCTCGAGTCCTTGGCTCGAGTCCTGACTCGAGTCCTGGCTCGAGTCCTGACTTGAGTCCTGACTTGAATCCTGCCTCGATATTTAGGTACCCTCAAGCTAAACGCCTTTCGAACAACCGGCCCCTGCAATACAGACTTTCTCGACGATAATAAGATGTAAGTGAATTTTTCATAGCTTCGATTTCTAAATAGGTAAAATATTTGTGAAATATTTTCATGATTTGAAGGAACAAAATGCCCATTCACCGATTTAGTATATACTATTCACCGATATAATATTTATTATTCTTTAGTGTCGCATGTAGTTTTTAAACTTCAAAAGGTTTTCTCTGTGAAGTAATTTGACTTCTAGGCTAAGTAATTTGACTTCTGACGCAACAATGGAAAGATTGGAAACTGTGGATATTTCAGAGGAAATCCTTATAAATCCCAGCAATGAGAAAATTGGGCCGGAGTCATTTGAACTGTTGAACCTACTAGGAATTGGTGGTAATGGGAAAGTATGTCATGAAATAATGATGGTTGAAACCTTTACTAGACTAGACAAAGGCTGGAGTGGATTATCTTTAGTTGCTTTCTTAATGACTAATAATATATTGATTTCCAATTCACAATGCAACTAAATTTATCCTGCATCCATCCTAAATTTATCCTGACAAACTTTATCTCACCAGCATGGATCTAAACTTTGCATCTAAAATTTTTCTAAAATTGGATCTAAAATTGGATCCATGGATCCAAAATTTGTTTGACTAATTTGAGTTTTTACAAACAAAGGCACAAGCTTTGAAATGAATCATTTCAGGTGTTTCAAGTAAGGAAATTGGCAGGCCACAATGCTGGGAAAATATTTGCAATGAAAGTTTTAAAAAAGGTCTGTGAATGCATGTGTCTGAATCAATATCAGAGTTTTAAAGAAGACCAAATGAAATGTTTTTAGCCATCTTTCTTTTCCAGGCCATACTCTAAAGTCAAAGAGACATGACTTTCGCAAATAGTGAAAGAAATATTCTTGAAGCTGTCAAGGTGAGTGGGGGAAACAGGTTTAGGAAGATTTAATTGAAGATATACAAAATTCGCAACCGGTGCAAGTCCAACCATTGTGCCAAATAAATGATTTTTGTTTTGATTTCTAGCATCCATTTATTGTGGATTTAATATATGCATTCCAAACTGGAAGAAAATTATATCTTATTTTGGAATATTTAAGTGGTATGTATATATATCAAGGTGATCTCGCATTCATATTTCAGCCAATCAGCACGCAGAAAGTTTTTGAAAATAGAAATCCATTCCGCAGTGTTTAATCGATTATATCTTTTCTTATTCTTGATGGAACCATTCAAAATTTTGTGATTATGTTTAGTTATAAGAATTATAGCGCTGATATTAATTTGACACCGAAGTAAATTATATTTCAGGAGATATTAATTAAGTTGTTTCAACCGAGAAATGGATTTTTATATGACAACTAGTCCTAGTCATTTCCTGCCATTTCAGATCAACTGGATTGTTTTGCACAATGAACTTACAGGGGCCCACAAGGGCAATGTGCAAAACTCAATTCTACTAGTACACAAAACTGAAATCAACAAAGTTACAACAAATGAACAAAATCAACTAATTTTTGTCTTTAACATGTTTAGGTGGAGAACTTTTTATGCGTTTAAAACAAAAAGGGGTTCTTATGGAAGACACAACTGCGTATGAAGTTAATTTTCTCATAAAGCTTTTTCATTCTGGCAAATTATGATCTTTATAAAAGCAATAAAACATGCTATGTCTGATGCCAGTCCTAATTGATATTTTTTAAGGTTTTATCTATCAGAAATAACCTTGGCCTTAGAGTATTTACATAAACAAGGAATCATATATCGGTAAATATAGTATAGTCCAAGCAAAGCTACTATACTGACTGGCTGTACTTCAGAGGGTAATTATAAACCCTCCCTAAAGCATCAAATATGTTTTTCTTAGTGATCTCAAACCAGAGAATATTTTATTACAAGCTGATGGTAGGCTTTTTAAAATGATAAAACAATACCAATGTTAACAACAAGTTGTTGCAACAAGACAATATAGGCCAATATAACAGCAGTTTTAATAATTTATTCTGTTCCAGGCCATATCAAGTTGACAGACTTTGGAATGTGCAAAGAGTCAATGTTTGAAGAGAATGTTACATACACGATTTGTGGGACTGTTGAATACATGTAAAGGATGACCTCTAAATATGTTAATGCCAATCCTGACAGATATTAGGAGAAAAAAGATGGGAGAAAATGCTTGATGAAAATAATTGGTGAAAATGATTTTTTTCTTGTGGGGCGCCGGAAATTTTTGCAAAAAAAGGTTATGGAAAAGCTGTTGATTGGTGGAGTTTAGGGGCTTTGATGTATGATATGTTGACTGGAGATGTGAGTAGATATTACTCGATGATTTATCCTTGTTTTTTGGGGGGCAAATCAGCATCTTTTGCCAATTGAATTTTACTTGCTTTAATTATTTTATTTTTAGCCACCGTTCCGCGGTAAAACTAGAAAATTAACTATTGACATGGTAAAGAAAAGATAACACACAAACTTTTCCGGGATACATTATTGTTAAAAAGCTTTTTTCATCATCGCAACCGCTGCGCTGGATCTTAAAAAAAAGATACTGGCCCCATCTCACATATGATGCTAAAGATCTTCTAAGAAAGGTGATTTTCATAAATCTCAGTTCTTTTTCCAGACAAATTTATCTCAAAATCATGTTAGCAAAAACGTATAAAAATGCGTGCATTTCAATCATAATCGATTAAAAATTTCTTCCAGTTGCTAGAAAAAACAGCGCATTTCCGTTTTGGTGGAGGCACTGATGATGCAGACCCAATAAAGGTTTGATCAACATTGATGTCATTCGTATTTGACGTGAAAGAATCTACTTTTTCTTATATTGTTTTTATTTCAGAGGCATACGTTCTTCTGTAATGTGAACTGGGATCATTTGTTGGCCAGAAAGACAGAGCCACCATACAAACCCTCCACGGTATTTCCGCTGTTTTTGGACGAAAAAACAGTTTTAGAGTCTGCAATTAGAGTCTGTTGTTGTTGTTGTAGTCTTTTACCCTCAACGAAACCTCTGTTTTTTTAGAGCGGCAAAGATGATGTGAGTCAGTTTGATACAATATTCACTGAACAAACACCGGTCGATTCTTCTGACGACTCCTGCTTGAGTGAAGATGGTTATCAGATATTCTCCGTACGTTTCTTTGTGTAAATTTTTTCTAAATATCTCGTACAATGAAATATTTTTTGTGAAAGGGAACAGTTTGTTTAGTATTTTATAACAGTGTTTGCTTGTGTTTTTTTGTGTTCAGAGGTTCAGCTACGTTGCACCGTCCGTATTTGAAGCAGTGGATAAAGATATTTTGAATTTACGACCTGTCAGAAACTCCCACGTAGCAGCAACCAGGTAAAGAATTTTTAAACTTTGACACGAAAAAGAATCAGCAGTGACATTTCTGCTTGTCAATGTGGAAGAAAGAAGATGCAGAGGAGGAAGGGCTGTGATCGTAGGAAGAACAGCGTTTGTTTTTAGCTTTTAAGCAAATCTTAATCTTTCCTTTTAGTCAGTTACAAGTCAATAGTGATACTGAAGCTAAATTTGGGTTTGAAGACGTCTGGAAACCTAATCGTCTTCCTAATGGCAACACAACAGGGCAAAGTCCAGCGAGGAGGACGCTGCAGTTCACTCGAGATGAATGCAAAAAGATTGAAACAGATCATAGTTCAAGTCCTGTCTTCACTGGGGCAAAGATCCCCAAGAATGACACGATGCTGACACGAATGAAGAAATCCATAGTCCGTGTTGCCAGTAGATTGAGAGAAATTTACGTTTAGGTTTAACGATAATGAACTGAACTCAATTCAGAGTGGACATACGTTGTTTTTACTCGTTTAGGATTTGAACTTTTTGAAAGTCTGAAGTCAGAATAATATATGAAAGGGTTGATTGTTGAAGGGTCAATGTATAAAGCATATAACTATTTACCAAGACGCTTTTGCCGTTGTTTATATTATAGTCCAAAAGCAGTGACGTCACAAAGCTCCTCCAGGAATTTAAATAGCTAAGTGATTTAAATATTTATCGAGCAATGGACCACTTGCATACTAGACCAACTTCAGATCTAGGTGACAAGAAGGAAATAAATAATCACAGCTAAAAAGATTAGTAAAATTGCCGAGTATGGTTCGAAAATCTAAAGTAGTACGGAAAATATAGCCATAAGTCGTCCGGCTGCAATACAAAAGTATACAAAATTCGCCAACTTAGCATGGCTTTACTTCGGCACTTTACAATATTTCACAGCCAAACTTGGCAATTTTACTAAGTTTTGTATGCACTTTTCGGAAATTTCCGCTTTGTCACCTAAATCAAAGGTTGGTCTATTATGCAACTGGTCCATTTCCAACCAAAATTCCTAACTTTACCTGCTTGCTTAAATACGAAATATAAAAACCGTGGTGCAATAACCAATTCGACTCAATTTGACATCGCCGAATAATTTATTAATTTGGCCAAATATAAGCCAAATTTAGAACGAATAGGAGTGCAATTAATGCCAAAATCATACGAGTGATTACAAAATCAACTGACCGCGCAGCGGGAGGTTGATTTGTTAAGCACGAGTATGATTTGGCATTAATTGCACGACTTAATTCGTTCTATTACTTATTAATGATCCATCTTCTGTAATCAAACTTAAAGAGGGGGAAAATACAAAAAGACAATTTTTGAAGTGCAATATATTAAATTTTCTACAATAATTCTTCTACACAAATTTTTAAAATTTATCATAATCAAATTATTAAAATTTATCATAATCAATTCAGTATCCTGAATGCTGATTGGCTACTTGTAAAGCTATGCTGAATTTCATTGGCTGTGAACAAGAGTGCGATTACAGCTCACCAAGAGTGCGATTAATGATTAATCGCACTCCTGTAAACCAATCAAATTGAAGTATTTGACAGTGATTACAGAAGATGGATAATTAAATATATAATCATGTTAAGAATTCAAGATTAGTCGAGAGCGATGAACTATAAGAGGACCGCACGGAATGACCTCATGAATAATTTTAACTAATTTAATCAGTCATCTCTTGTTTTTTGTCAGCCCGAATCACATTTTACCAGTTCTTAAGATCATGTAGGCATTTGCAAAATTTCTACTTTCACCATATAGGCGGCCAGAAATCTCGCTGACCTCGCGCGACGCTCATGTTGTCTGAACAGTCTTATCAGTATAAGTTATGTCTTATAATATATAAGACAACATGAGAGTCGCGCGAGGTCAGCGAGATTTTTGGGCCGCCTATGTGCTTTCACAATTTTGTAAGTGTTGGGCAAACTCCTTGCCTGTTTAAAAAGTATAATTCAGAGTTTTGATAAAAACAAATATCACTTTGAAGCTTATTGTGCTGAAAACATTGCATAAATTCAATATTCGAAAAACTACATTCAATCGACGTTTAGTGCTGGCATCGTAATTTAAATTATTTGTGTTGTTTTGATGTTTTGAAGGTTTAGCTTTAGCAAAGTACTACTCCCACTTAAACTGTACAGTCTGTAACTGAATGCATCGTGATACAGCAGGCAAACGGGTGATTTGACTTCACCTTTACGACTGTCTTTGTTTGCGAAAAATTTGTCCGAAACTTTAACTATCAAGTCATTCATAATATTATCTTAGAAAGTTAGGTCTGAATAGCTCAGCCAGGAAATATTTTGCTTCGTTGGAATAGCGAGGGGTTGCTGCATGCATGTATTTCTAGTATTTTGATATTACGGCGCGTGCGCAGACATTTTTCCGCGGTGTTGCACCGTGGACATTGGACGTTCAATGGTCATGGCACAGATCAATACCCAGATGTCTCTCTTCTCATTAAAAAGCGTACGCGCTTGCTCAGCAAGTGACTAGAGGCATTCCCCCCCCCTAAATCTCAAAATGGAGCCGAACTATTTTATACATGGAAAAAAACCTCTTATTTGCTAGATAAAGGGACTGTGTAGTTAAATTTGTGTCTGAATCCATCATTATCTATACGCGCTTTGGAAAAGTGAGTTAAGAGTACCTCGTTTTCAATATTGTACGAGTGTTTTATCTTTTTTCGATTTTCGTAGGAGCGGAAAACTTATAAGCAATAGAAATCTCCATAATTTCAAACATATTTCTTTTAAAAAGTGTGTGAATATCTTTACATTGAATGGAACTTCCTGTACAAATAATAAATGTACATATATTCCGCCTCATTTGAACACATCGTGCAGTTTTTCACTTCAATTCAGTTCGTTTCCATTTTGAAATTTTATTTCGGGGGGGTGAATGCCTCTAGTCACTTGTTAAGCGTGCGCAAAAAGCGATGCGCAGTGACGATTCACTTGCTAAGTGTGCGCAGAAAGCGATGCGCAGCGACGAACCGCTTACGGTTTCTAGTCAGGAGTGAGACATCTGGGTAATCTGTGGTCATGGTACTTGTGCGCACGCCGGCGCAAAATTTAAGGGAGTAAAGTATTGGTAATTAGTAACTCGCTGATTGGCCAAGACAAAACGTTTTCACTGAGAAACGTCAGCATTTTAACTGTCATTTTGCTAACTATATTTTTAAAAAATATCAATAAACACTGCATGGCCATAGATATAGAATGGATAATACGTATTCTTTGACACTAGAAAGAGAATAAAATATAATTTATAATAAATAACGAGGATAAAATATTATTGGAACTGAGACTAGCGGTAAAAAAGAAAAACTCGTAGTTTTAAATCCTTGAACTGGTAGGTTTCAACTTTGTTTATTTCTTGTTTGCTGTACGTATGCATTTTATGAGCTTGGTATGTCGTTTTCCGAAGACTTAACCGACTATTTAAGGCATTAAATCATCGTTTTTACTTTAAAAACAGTTTTTTGAAGTATAATTCTGAGTTTTGGTGCAACAAATATCACTTTAAAGCTTACGTAGAGTCGACTGCAATCCTGCATAAAATCAAAAATAAAAATAAAAACATTCGACGTGTGTTAGCCCTTGGGGATTAAAATTATTTGTGCTGCTTTGATGTTTTGAACGTTTAACCCTAGTGAAGTATTAACTCTCAATTGAACTGTGAAAGTCTATAACTTCATGCAATAAAATGCAGCAGGCAAATGGTAATATTATTATTAATATTTTGCTTCGTTTAAAATGGCGAGTGGTTGCTGCATGCATGTATTTCTAGTATAGCTTACTAACAAAGAGTAAATATATATACTCTTTGTTACTAAGTTTAGTGATTTGCATTCCCGGGCGTAATTCCTTATCTCCCGGCGGAATTAGTACCCTCGCACAGCGCTTCGCGCCGGCTCGGGGATAAGTATGGTGGAGAATGGACGAGTAAAGCCTTCCGACAGTTGAAATGAAAAAAACACGGGTAAATAATAAAATGCACATACGATGTATGCAACTTTCCCGAATTTTCATTCTGCTTTTAAAGTAAAGTTACACAAAGGACGCATTTCTAATCTAAGCCAACCACCTGAGATCTAGCGCCTGCGGGCAGTTTTTACAAAAGGAACACATGCATAATGAGTGTGTTCCTTTGTAATTTGAAGCGTCTGCACCGCAGGCTGATCAGGATCCGACAACAATGAGTTAATCGGAAACGTCAATCAAATTCATAACAGATGATATTATTTAACCTTATTTACAAAACGGTAACCCTTCAGTACTAAAAACTGATTTTCAAGAGGCCGTTCACACGCTAATAAAAATCTATACATTATTTACAAAAATTAACACACACACAATTATATAAATTTATGAAAGTATAAGAATTAAAAGAATTTACTAATTATTAGACGTAAAATGGCTACCAAGAATATTTTTAAATCGAGCAATTGTTAGCTCTTGTTGTTTTGCAGTGGTTGGCAGATCATTCCACAATGTTACGCCGGAAAAGCTGATGCTTTTCTTCATAAAGTTTGTCCTTGGCTTTGGAATTTGAAAATTAATTTCGTTACTTCGTAGATTATGAGCTTCATTGTTGCTTATTTTAAACATATTTATCATAGATTCATTGTGATTTTTGTTTCTTATATTGTACATAAACGTTGCCTTTTTTATTTTCATTCGTTTTGCTAATGGTAGCCACCCAAGGTCTGCTAGGATTTCACTCGACCTTGTTTCATACGATTTACCAGTTATAACTCGTGCAGCCCTGTTTTGCATTTTTTGTAACTTTTCGATCAAATAACTACTACAAGTATCCCAAACAAGGCTACAGTAGTCAAAATGTGGCAGAATTATGGCATTATAAACTTGTATAAGAGGAAACTTCGGTATATAAGGTTTCATGCGTCTCAACATACCAATTCCTTTGGAAATCTTGGAAACTGAAGAATTTATATGATTTTTCCAAAGAAGCTGGTCATTTACTAAAATTCCTAAAGTTTTTGACTCATTCACTTTTTTAATTTCATCATTTCCTAATCTTATTGAAGGATCATTTTGCATATCATTTAAACGTTGCCGAGAGCCTATTAACATGTATTCCGTTTTTTCAATATTGAGAGTTAATTTGTTTGCTAACAACCAATGATGGACCTTTTCTAAATCAGCATTTAGTCGATTTTACTTAGTACTCTAGCGTTTATAGCACACTTGGAAAAATATAACCAACATCTGAAAAACTATTGTTGCCGATTTGAATTTGTTTGCGCGAATGGTCATGGAGGATATACAGGTTTGTATTTTTCTTGGGCTCATAATATTTTATGCATAACATATAGCTACACACCCAATATTCCATACTAACCATTGTTTATCCGCTTAAGACGCGGACGACAATATTTGCTGTAACTATAATGATATAAGAATAATCTAATAAAACGAAAGAGCTTGTACCACATTTGCTAATGTATCTATGGGTGGCCACAACACATTGCTTTCCTGAGATCTCAGTATTAAACAAGTGTTTTGTAATATAGTATATAAGGAACAAAGTATGACTAATTTAACAGTTATTGGAGTGAAATTAATTCTACGCCTCATTATGTTTAACTAGACGGCAACTCAAAGCGTACGGGCGACATAATACTACACACACAAAGCAGAAATTAAAGATATACAGTATCTGCTTTGTTGTAACACGCCTGGTTGATGGTTAAGGCGAAACTAGTGCGTCCGTTCGTATATATATATATACTGTACATATATATATATATATATATATATATATATATATATATATTAATATATATATATATTATTATTGCTAGTAGACACTATTTACAATTCCACAGAGTGCTAAACAACACTAAAGTGAAGTTTATAAATATATATACAGTATATATACACCCGTTTACAAAAACGTTGTCGCAAGTAGATAGATAGTTATAAATGTTGATTAGAAATTATCATCTATTATCATCTATCATATAAATGTTGACTAGAAATTAATGAACGTCATGGCGGATGGACACAGTGTTCATAGCTCCGAGTCTACAAATAAAAATCTCATTGACGCCTTTGATTTCCTCAAT